TGAAAATGTATGTTTTACAATATTTGCAGTATGATGTTATCTATTGCTAAATTATGGCTCATCATAGACTAGCGAACCACAAAGCAAGCTAATGCCACTATTATCAGTGGAAGACCGCTAACGTTAACATTAATGAGCTTGGAAACCACAATGAACTTTCTCTGCCTAAATAAAGTAATTATTACTGTATTTATAACTAGCATATCTCTAGTTACAGTCCCTGCATTGTAAAATGTAAGTTAGACTTGCGAGGAGTGAACATTTAGACAGAGAAAAAGTATCAAACGTATCTTGTGCAGAAAAGTTAGCTTTTCTTTTACACGTGTGTAAAATCCAACAATATTTTAATATAAAAAAAAAATATCGGCCGATATATCGGAATATCGGATTTTAAAACCCCAAAATATTTTGTATCGGTATCGGCCTTCAAAATCCTTTATCGGTCGGGCTCTACTTTCAAGTCATGTTGGAAAGATCACATTTACGAGTTGAATGCGCATGAATGGCAACAAAAAGTCATAAATAAGCCATCTTTGAGCCATGATCTGTGCGAGTTTGGTGGCGTGTCAGAGAGAAACATGGCGGAATACAACCATATTTATAAGTTTTAGCAAGCGGCGACATTATTTTTACAAGAAAATAATCACAAAATATGATAGTGTTGTAACACCACCATATATGATGAAGTTTACAGTGGCTTCCTTCATGAATTAAAAACTTTAAAAAAAAAAAAAAAAAAGGAAGACACCCCTGATAAACATTCTTTGGTCTTCATTTTCTACAAGTAGAGTTAAAAACCTTGCTGTATTAAAGGGATAGTTCACCCCAAAATGAAAACTCGGTCAGTAATTACTCGCCCTCATGTTGTTCAACCCTATAAGACTTTCGATCAACTTCAGGACACAAATTAAGATATTTTTGATGAAATCTGAGAGCTGGATCACTCCTCCATAGGCTTCTTAAGGGATCGACACTGGCCGGCCCAGAAAACATATTAAAGACACCGTTAAAATAGTCCGAGTGACTACAGTGACTCAATCTCAAGTTTATCAAGCAACGAGAATAGTTTCTGTGCGCAACTTCAAGTCTTTATTCAACGATTCATTTCACGAACGAAAGTCGAGGGCGAGTAATTACTGACAGAGTTTTCATTTAAGGGTGAACTGTCCCTTTAAGAGAAGGTACGCCGCCATCTTGGTTCGACGAAAGTGACCTGAACGCTCCTGCCGTAAACACGACTTTCCAACTCGTAAATACGTACTTCCAAAGCTAAAAGTCCTACTAAAGCAAAGTGGTATTTGACTCTGGTAAGCTTGATGGCAACATGCCCAGTGCATTATGGGTAATTATGGGTTTTCTCTAGTCAGCTAGCACAGATTTATCTGTACGCACCTTAGAGGGAATGCGCGTGACGTAGTTGTCATCCTGCAGTTCCTCACAGTGAGTGGCAAAAAGACTGAGCGGCTGTATTTGTTATTAGCGTGAATGCCGCGAAACACACACACAACACATATAAAGTGGGAAAGAGCTTTGCGATTGACTGTACAACTAGATTTGACAAAAAAATCTGAGGTATATTTATAGACTGCTATAGAAACAAATGGATCGCTGCAATTCACAGAAACAACTGGACTCCAGTCAGCGAAAGCTGGATTTGCAGTCATCATTTTGTGTCAATATGCTGAATTTAGCTGTAAAACCATACCCATATATATTAACAACTCATCAATTTAATATTTATCATTGAATATTCTGCATTATTGGATGTTTTTTTAAAAACTCTGACCAAAGTTTTAGGGCTGGACGATATGATATATATCAGTCCCTCCAGAAAAACGCGATTATGCGATCGCTGAATTCAATGCAAAATCAGCCAAAGTCCGCATATTTATGCAGGGGCCGCATTTTTTCAAATACGCCGCAGTTTCGCCGCATAAATTGCCGATTTCCATTGCGGGTTTGCATAATTTCATAATCCTCGCATTTTCGTTGCAAAAAAGTCACATGTATCTTAGCAGAAAGTTGAAAAATGTTGCGTTTGCTTCACACAAGAGCAGCCGTTTCCCCCTGTTTCCATGGGAACGTTATGAAGTGACGCAATTACGCGACGCCAGACAGACTCACGGAGGCGATTGACATCTCACAAATCGAACTCGTATTCTGTCTGTCGCACGTTCTACCGTCACATCGTTACTTAATAAACAACATAAGATAAAAGAAGTAGCATCAAACAGAAATTACCCGCACACATATAACACTGCAGAGAGTTCAACAGGGAGCACGCAGCTCTTAAAGGAGCCACACCATATTTACACTCTTACAGTCTGAAATAAAACAAGATGAGAAATTAAATATTCCCGGCACTTTCCATGATGTAGTATGCTTGTTTATCAAATAAGTACTAAGAAATGACTCTTACATTAACAGGATGTTGGGGGAATCACTTTTTTTCTCTTTTTCATCAAACCGCAATTTTTGCAAATTCCTGCAATTTCATCGCATAAAATTGCATAAATATCCCGCATATTCCATCGCATTTTTAAAGAAAACGGGTCGCATAATCAATCAATTTTTGCCCACAACAATCACAAAAAAAAACTCCACGTTTTTCTGGAAGGACTGAATACTATTATGGTAAATGTTAAATATAAATCGCAAATTTTTCACAAATTTTTGGAAATTACCACCACAAAAATCAGTCAATTTGATCGCAAAAATCACAAAAAAAAAATCGTGAAATCCTGAAGGGACTGATATATATAGGCTATATAACACTGATATAAGTGATCAGCCGGATTTAGACCTATATTGTATTTATATAAAGCGTTCACAGCCAAATTTGCTTTATGTTTAGGTCAATATTGCTTTTATTTCCTCGGTGTCGAAATCAGGCAAACATAAATGTCAGGCAACACGATTCCTGGCTGCATGTCAATATCCATGGATCACTGGATCTTTAGTAAGTTGTGAGGAACACTATATATTGAGTCCAACATTTAGTTTAAATTGATAAAATTGTTCGTTTTAGTCGCATTTTCACAGTTTCCCCTATTAAATCCAGTCACGCAGCAGATGTTTTGCCACTCAGTCGGGAAAGTGACGTCAATGCATTCCCTCTAAAGGCAGCCGGATGTTATTGAAAGCACATTTTGCCCGCGGTAAAGAAAACCTCGAGTCTGAGGTGAGCAATGTTGCTTGCAAAACTCCAAACAAATTATAGTGTATGAAAAAAAAAATCAAGATGCCTTATAGTCATATATTGATGTGTAGAAGCAATAAGATGCAGAATATTTGAAAAACAATCAGCTTGAGACGTTAAACGGGGATTACCTGCGGCTGCTGTGAACTGTAATCTGTACTGTAATCTAAATGTCGAAGAGTTTCGCACCAGATGTCAAAAATGTCTAAAGTTTTTCCACTTTGGTCTTAATAACTTTGTTTCTCCCAATAATGCATTGCTGCCGGGGAATGAGCCTATAATTATCGCAGGCATAACTTCCTCAACACCAGGTGCGAGTTATGAGAAATTATTCAGCTCAGCAAGAAGAACATTTTGATTTTTGCACTTTGTTTAAGCTCTGCACTTGATACCACAGGGAAATGTGCTCTAATGTAACTAACCACACAACATTAGACGACTAAAAAAGCCACACGCTCTTTCTGCAAGTGACCCTAATGATTATGGATTTAAATAAACATTTTCTACATCCAAAATTATATTAGAGCTACACAACCGTTCAAAAGTAAACTTTCTCTTCATCATAAATGCATGTCAACATCCATGTTTTCAAACTTTATAATAATCAGAAATGTTTCTCGGGCAGCAAATCATCATATTAGAGTGATGACTGGAGTGATGATGCTTTGATCACAGGAATAAATTACATTTTAAAATATATTACAATGGAAATTGACATAACATTTCACAATATTACTGATTTTACTGTATATTTATTCAAATAAATTTAGACTTTTTTCAAAAACATTAAAAAAAAACACAACCTTTGAACGTTCGTGTGCTAAACTCTAAAAATGCTGGGTCGTTTTAACCTCTTAACTGTCACCCCCCTTTTTTGAATAGACATGAAAATGCACATTTCGAACTTAAATGGTTGTAATTGAAGAATGCTTTGGAATATAGACATATGATTGGTCTTGTTTTAAAGAAGACATTTGGCAGATTTTTGTAGAAGTGAAATAAATTAAGAAAGTGAAACAGAAAAAAAGTTATAGAAGTTTGAGTTTATGGAAATGTACAATGTAAAAATATTAATTATTCATATTTTACATCAAATATATATTTTCAAAACCTGGGCTACTCTAAAACGGCAGAAAGATCAAAGCCAAGTTGTGTTTCAAATTTTAGGTTGATATCTCAAAAAAATGAGCTTTCAGTAAGATTTTGTTTGAGCGCAGTACCAAACTTTTTCACTAGGGCACAATCAGACTCCATTACTGCCCATATAAGGGCGCCTGCATTTCCATTCCTGTTTTGAGTGATATGAACCATTATTTTCACAATTTTCATACAATTTCTGAAGTAGAGATCCTATTCAGAAGTAGTATGGGAAGTTTGGATTCAGATTTTGAAATGAATTGAACCTCTAAGAAACACATACAAAGAACACGCATGTAAGTCATAGCTAGCTGCCACGTCACAAATGGTGAATTTATTAGTTTTTTCTTGATATTTCAAACTTTTCAGACCTTTTTTTTCCAAAATAATTGAATGGATTCTATCTTTTGAACTTTTGGCATTAAAAAAACAAACTGAGGTATCTACCATTTTTTTAAAATGATTTTTCATGTTTACTGCTATTTTAAAATAAAGGTCTGAACACGCCTTATGAGTATGAAAATATTCTTGTTGCATATTGATAAATTATGGCTCCTCTGTAATTTATTTTGAATTCTGTAATTTATTTACATTAAAAATGTAGCTGGGTTTGTCCATGTTTGACCCAAAGTTGGGTTAAAAAAAACAACCCAGCAATTTTTAGAGTGTATTAAATCATATTTCTATAATGAAGGTGATGCGCATGAAAACACAATCAGGACTATTATTGCAAAGGAAGAAGTGCAATGTGTCGCCAGGTTCCCTAATGGCACTCGACACACACTTTCATTTACATACTGACATTATTAACAACTGGAGGTCTGACGTTACAGCTCTGTGCAAGGATGAGCTCCTCCGGGTCCAATTCCCCGGTGTTATCGGAAGAAAATAAAGCAGAATTGGACTTTTGTTTCAAGTGTCTTTGCTCTCAGGCAAATGTAATAGAATAAAACTGAATGTAGGGACATGAACTTGCGGTCTCAGTAGTCAGCAAAACCAACTTTGAACAAAAAAGAAGGGAGGAGAACGAGTGCAGCTGTACCAATATTGCTCTCTGGGCATATTGCAATGAGGAAAACAACGACTTATCATAACAAAATCAACAATAATGCCACCCTATTCCCTCTGATATGAGTCATCCTAGAAAGATATTGCATTACTCTTCACGCTCACACACACTTCCGCCCTCCACAGACTCATCAGCGCAGGAGCCGGCGAACATCATCATCCTTAGAGGAGGGGAACTTGTATTTATTTCGTTATTTGGTTTGTGTGTGTGTGGGGCGGTATCCTTCATTTTCCCGTGGAGAGTGTGCGGGGCTTTTCCTGTGTTGTGAAGTGAAAAACGGCCTCTGTGTCTCAAGCGAATCAAAGTGCAGAAGAGGTAGAGAAGGGTATAAACAAGGCTTAGAGATGGAGGGGAATCTCGGAAAAGAAAAAAAACAAAAACAAATTTGGAGGATCTATAAATGCCTGAACAAATGAAAAAGAAAGGGTTTAAATGTAAAGCACGAATCGCTTCACAAGGAGGAAGTGTTTCTTCTTGAAATACTAAAAAAGGAGAGGAAGACGAAGATCCTTTCTTTCAGGTTACACTCTGACCCCAGACCGTTACGGTTATTATTGCTCAGTATTCCCTTGGTTCGGGGAAGCGGGAGAGACCGAAAAGGAAGTGCGGTGGGCATTAGACCTATCGGCCAGGGTCTTTTGGGCCCTGATGCATTGTTGGAAATGTCAACGTTCTGAGGATCGGTGGAGGGACTACAAAACATTGTTTGCACCAAACCTCCCGTTGGCCGATCGTGGCGTGTCCGCGCGAACGGAGCGTTTCTTCTCCTGCCGCTAGGATGCTGTGGGGACGGGAAGCAATTTTTCTTTCTTGCCGTTTTTATGGACGGGCGAGTCTGAGGTTTTGGCTGTTTTCCTAGGCGGGCTTTGCTCGGCAACCTCATGTAGCGACGGCTCCCTGTACATGGCAACTGGAGAGACAGGAGAAAAACAGAGACTCTTAAAGGGACAGTACACCATGAAATGAAAAGTCTGAGGGTTACGTTTACCCATTAAATATGTCATTACAGGAGTAGTTCACTTTAAAAAAAAATGTTGCTGATAATTTACTCACCCCCGTTTCATTCAAGATGTCCATGTCTTTCTTTCTTCAGTCGAAAAGAAATTAATTATATGATTTTCTCCATATAATGGACTTCAATGGGAACCAAACGGTTCAAGGTCCAAAAGACAGTTTCAGTGCAAACTGTTCAAAGGACTTTAAACGATTCCAGATGATGAATAAGAGTCTTATCAAGGACCCTTCGAGTCATGACTCGAAAAAAGATTTGTTCATTTTGATGAACGAGTTCGAACAGGAGAGTCACGAACGCGCATCACAGAACAGAGCAAGGCGACCATTTGTGCTTAAATGTGCGATCGTTTCGCTTGATAAGACTCTTATCTGGAATCGTTTAAATCGTTTAAAGCCCTTTGAACAGTTTGTACTGAAACCGTTTGGTCCCCATTGAAGTCCATTATATGGAGAAAAATCCTGGAATGTTTTCATCAAAAGCCTTAATTTCTTTTCGACTGAAGAAAGAAAAATATGGACAACTTGGATGACATGGGGGTGAGTAAATTATCAGTAAAAGTTTTTTTTTTTTTAAACATAAAAATCGCATCCAAAATAAAAGTTTGTGTTTACATAATATATGTGGGTGCACTGTGTATAATTATATATATATGAAGAGTTCAGATGCAAAAGCCTCTAAATGCCATTTGAAATTTTCTTCTTTAATGATGATTTTTTATCAAACTTGTATATTTTATTTCATTAATTTCACTTAAATAACAATTAATAGGTAATTATTATTGCCATTTAAGTGAAATTACTGTACTTAAATATACAAGTTTGATAAAAATCATCATTAAAGAAGAAAATTTCAAATGGCATTTAGAGGCTTTTGCATCTGAACTCTTCATATATATATATAAATATACACACATGCTTGTATATATGGTATGCATGTATATTTAAAAAAATATATATTATTATTTATAATAATATTATTTATTATTATTATAATTATTTATTATATAATATAAATTATATAATAAATAATACATAAATTATTTATTATATAATAATAAATCAATAATAACAAAAATAAATAAATGATTTGTTATATAATATAAATTATATATAAATCTATATACAGTATATACATGAAAATATTTCTTAAATATATACAAGCATGTGTGTGTATTTATATATATATAAAATAATTATACACAGTGCACCCACATATCTTATGTAAACACAAATTTTTATTTTGGATGCGATTAATCGTTTGACAGCCCTAGCTATTTTACATTTTACATTGATTCTTTATTTTTTCTACCTGAACATTACTGTTAGACTTACCTGAAGAACATGAAAATTTGTTCTATTGTATTTGTGCTATTGCTTGATTATGTGTTCTTATTTTAATACTGTCAACTGACTTGTCGTTAACAATATTTGAGTTAGGCTTGTAGTTTGTGGTGCCACAATAACTAGGCCTGTTTTATTTATTTAATTTATTTATTACTTTTTCGTCGTGGGCAAAAATGTTGGCATGGCAAGTAAAAAAAACATTGCAAATCATCATATTATCATGATTTCTGAAGGATCATGTGACAGTGAAGACTAGAGTAATGATGCTGAAAAATTCAGCTTTGATCAAAAGAATAAATTCTAAAATAGAAAACTGTTATTTTAGATTGAAATATTATTCCACACTATTTTCACAATGTTTTTTACTGTATTTTTCATCAAATAAATGCAGCTTTATTGAGAATTAAAAAAAAACAAATCGTACTGATCCAAAACGTTTAAACAGTTTCAACAAATAATGTAATATTATAAGCAGAGACGTACCCTCTATGAGCTTGGGCAGGAAGTGAGCAGCTCCTTTGGTCTTTTTGACCCGATTTCCTTTCATGACCTGTCCGTCCCGGTTAATGCCGATGTACCAGGCCCGACCCGACTGGGTTTGGCGGTACAAGATCGAGGAGTATGTCACATAATAGTTCTCAAATACACACTCCTTAAACTTACACTCAGGCGTGAAATGTTCCTGTAACAGAGATACACAGATAGTGAGTTAACCAGAATAACAGACTGTATAAGTGTACTGTAACCTATATATAGCATTTATATTGAGTTCAGCCGGGACGGGCGGGAAAACGGGCCTTGCGTTTCACTGTGCCAGAACTGTGAACGCATTAGTGTCCAGACGAACCGTAAATGAGGTAAACGAAAGCCCCTACACACACTTTCTTATTACACATTTACACTCTAAACAATGCTGGGTTGCTTTAATCCAAATTTGGGTCAAATATGGACAAACCCAAATGTTGGGTTAAACATGTCATTTAAAATTTTAACCCAACTTCAACTTTCACTTTTTTTTAATTGCATTTTTAACCGAACATTTGAGTTTGTCCATATTTGACCCAAATTTGGGTTAAAACAACCCAGCATTTTTTAGAGTGTATCGACCACATGTGTTTGGTTCAACGTAAACCCAAATTCCCAGACTCTCTTCATCCCGGCTGGAGATAGAGCCAACGTCTCTCTTTTATTCTCTCTCTCTCTCTCTCTCTCTCTCTCACCCTGTCATTTCGTAACCTTGTCAGGGAACAAACCAATTTCCAGGATTGATTGGGATCCTTGGTGTGAATGGTGAGCAGAGCAGCTGAATAAGGAGTTTACTCCTCTTCCTCTCTCTCGTGCTCAATGTGTTTGTTTTGAAACACTCCCCTCCATCACCAAAGTAAAATCGAGCCTTCTTCATAAAACATATTCATAGTTGCATATCTGTAATTGAAGGAGTAGTCCACTTTTAAAAATACTTTTGCTGATAATTTACTCGCCCCCATGTCATCCAAGATGTCCATGACTTTCTTTCTTCAGTCGAAAAGAAATCAAGGTTTTTGATGAAAACAAATCTTTTTCCGTGTCATTTGGTTGATTCAACGAGCGAAATGAACGAATTGACTCAGAAAAAGATTTGTTCATTTTGATGAGTCACGAACGCGCATCACAGAACAGAGCAAGGCGAGCATTTGAGCTTATAAAACGTATTATTATTATTTTTTTTAAATGAGCGATCGTTTCGCTTGATAAGACCCTTATTCATCGTCTGGAATCGTTTGAACAGTTTGCACTGAAACTCTCATTTGGACCTTGACCCGTTTGGTTCCCATTGAAGTCCATTATATGGAGAAAAATCCTGGAATGTTTTCATCAAAAACCTTAATTTCTTTTCGACTGAAGAAAGAAAGACATGGACATCTTGGAAGACATGGGGGCGAGTAAATTATCAGCAAAAGTTTTTTTTTTTTAAAGTGAACTACTCCTTTAAATTGTGGCCATTCAGGCTTTTGATATTCGAAAATGCCCTATTAAAGAAGATCATGTAATAAATAAATTAGTTGTATATAATATTATGGGAAGTATTTAAAATAATGAATACAACTAATCAATGTATTATAATGTAATAATAAAATTTAGTTGCATTTATGGAATGATTGAAATCATTTTATGCATGTTTTCTCAACTTTCATCAAGTTTTGAACATCTAAAACTAAAATGAAGCCGCCTTCATAAAACAGGTTCAAAAATGTACCAGGCTCAATAGAACATCTGTAACTAAATTAAGGTCATTCGGGCGTTTGATCTTCATCGTGGTTTTGATGGTCTTAAAGTGTGCTATCAAAGAAATGCATGTTATGAGTAAGCAATGGCCCTGTCCCAAATGGCGCACTTCATGCAGACTTTCGGTCTCGTGGACTTAAATTGTGTGTGCTCGCTGTCCCATTTAGCATTTTAAAGGGTTAGTTCACCCAAAAATGAAAATTCTGTCAGTATTTACTCGCCCTCATGTTGTTCCAAACCTCTATGTGTTTATTTGTTCTGCTGAACACAGAGGAAGATATTTGGAAGAATGTTTTAATCAAGCAGATCTCATTCCCCATTGACTACCATATGGGGAATGAGATCTGTTTGATTAAAACATTCTTCCAAATATCTTCCTCTGTGTTCAGCAGAACAAATAAACACATAGAGGTTTGGAACAACATGAGGGCGAGTAAATACTGACAGAATTTTCATTTTTGGGTGAACTAACCCTTTAATGCTCTGAAGTGTGCTCAGCAGCGCCCCCTCTGTACCCTTGAAGCGGTCTTTGCGTAGTGATACATAGCGGTCATAGCAGTGTTTTATCATGAAAAAAGCACAGCTATAATATTGACCAATTAGAATCAAGGGTTGGAACATTTTATAAATGATAATAATAATTATTATTATACTACTAGAAGTATTTAATGCACAAATAATGTATTAATATATTTTAACATTGAATTGCAAACCCCATTGAGAGTAAGGAGCTCAAAGTTAAAGCCTATGCCAACTTTAATTATTTAATCACCAAATTTAATTGAACTGGCGCTTCCAGCTGAAGATGATCGAGTCTGAAAGCATTAGTGTGCCGAGGAACAGTAAAGGACGAGGACGAAACCCCACACACTTTCTCCTTACGCATTTACCGACCACATGTGCTCTGTTCAGGTGAACATACGGTGCCACAATCCCAAACACTGCACCTAACTGAAGATATATTTACATTTTGTAGCTAATGTTTACACCCCTTCAATTGATATCAGGACAGGTTGATATCAACATGCCGATTGATATCAGGCTGAGAAGAGAATTTCAACCAGGATAACAACCAGTGTTTATGTAAAGCACTGCCTAAGGGATTCAGTTCTCCTCCATAAAGAAGAGGCGCGATTACATTGACCTCTGGTGTTTTTGTCCTCCCGCCTGCAGTTCTCTCGTTCGCCAGCAGGTGTCAGAGCAGCACACGTGTGTGTCTTCATCTGGTCAGACACTTTCTCTGGCTTCTTACACACCACAACACAGTCGCACGCACTTTCTCTCCCCTGCCCTTTTAATCTAGGATTGTGTGATTTAGGCAAATCTGATGATTACAGAAGGATTTTCTGACATGTTATGTTGCGTAAAGTTAATGAAGATGCGGGAGAATCCTCTGAATGCACAAAAATCTCCTAGAAATCAGCAGAGGACTGGCATTCTGACAGGAGAGGTGCCTCATCAGCCTCTTACACGGGCACTATTTACACAGACATTTAAAGGGACGGTTCACACAGAAATAAAATGAACTCGTATCGCTCCAGATCTTTGCTTTTCAATGGAAGGAGGAATTAAAAAATAAAAAACGTCCACGCATCTTAGACTTTTAATATAGTTACATACAGTCTCTTGTCCATTTTAAACTTGACTGATGCGATCACTATAAACTGTAGTTGAATACAAAACAGGGTTATTTATTTAAAAATAAAAACATATTTATTCTTACTGTATATTTTGCATTTATTTTGATCTAAAATTATATTTTTGCTCCTAATATTTAGCTCACATCAGTGAGGGCTAGTTGAACCATATATTGCATAAGTGGTGACAACTGATTAGTTTATTTTATAAAGCTGATATTTACTCACCTTTGCCTTTTAGTGAGTGTTAATTGTGGAGCCGAGAGTAAAGAAGGGGACAATGTGCCCACTAAGACAAGGGTTTCAACATTGCCATCTTTGCAGAGACAAATTTGGTCCTGACAACGATTAAACTTTACAGAGAAAAGATTAACTTTTCTCTGCTATGCCCGTAAAATGTGTAGTACAGGTGGATTTTAATGTACGTAAGACAGCAGCAAAACGAGAAAATGAGAATTTCCCCTAAAAAATGCGATATAAGACTTTGATTTCGGCTGATAGATGTGTGCACTGGCATGAGGAGATCCGAAAACTGCTTACTAAGAACGTGTTTAACACACCAGTGAGCTTTGGCGAGCTTGCAGAATGACAGGGGCATGAGGAAGACGTCAGATGAACTTCAAGGTGGGAGAAAATGAAACGAATGACTCGGTGTCAAATAAATGGAGGATAAATTAACGCAGTAAATGATTAGTCAAATTAATTGCAATTCATTTCACAGAGGACAAACATGCTGCTGTGTTGTAATGAGATTGTAATTGCAGAGGCCAGCAATAACACCTTGTTCTAAGCACTAAAAATAAAACAAGCAGCCGTGTTTTCTTCCTTTAACCAGACTTGAGACACTTTCCGAAGCTTCCTCAAGCACAGGTCTGAGAACAGCCCCGCGAACTGTTGTTCTCAAGGAGGCCATTACAAGACTGACAACAAACTGACCCCAGGTCAGCACGAGAGGTGGTTTCCTTGGCAGAACACCTGCTCGTCCCTGCACTGCTGACCTCACACAGCTGTAGCGGCACACTCGTCCTCTGCTTCTCTCCTTGGCTAGACCCAGCTGAGCGACTGGGGAATTTCCGAGACAAAATAATACAACAAGCCCCTTCAAGACAGACTCTCTCGCTCTTTTCTCCTTCAGCACTCCATTGCTGTACATCTCCTTCAGCAATCACTCACTCGCTCACTCACTTGCTCAGTCTCTCTCTCACTCACTCACTCGCTCAGTCACTCACTATTCACTCAGTCATTTACTTGCTCGGTCACTCGCTCACTCACTCACTCAATCAGTCACCATTATTTCACTCACTCACTCGGTCAGTCACTCAGTCAGTCACTCACTCAGTTACTCACTCCCTCAGTCCCTCGCTCACTCACTCACTCACTTGCTCACACGCTTAGTCCCTCGCTCACTCACTCGCTCAGTCACTCAGTATTCACTCAGTCATTTACTTGCTCAATCACTCACTCCCTCAGTCACCATTATTTCACTCACGTACTCATTCACTCGGTCGGTCACTCACTCACTATTCACTCAGACATTTACTCGCTCACTCACCCAGTCACTCACTCACTATTCACTTAGTCACTCACTCACTATTCACTCAGTCGTTTACTCACTCAGTCACTCGCTCCCTCAGTAAGTCACCCATTAATTCACTCACTCACTCACTCAGTCACTCGCTGACACTCACTCACTATTCACTCAGTCATTTACTTGCTCAGTCCCTCGCTCACTCACTCACTCCCTCAGTCACCATTATTTCACTCACTCACTCACTCACTC